GGAATGTTTAAAATATTAGTTTGAATATAGAGTTTAATGGATTAATGTGTTGATTGTTATGGATTTATTATTGTAGTATTGGTTTTTGAAATAGTAGAATGTACTAAGAAGAATCTGATTGGGATTTAGGTGTTATTTTAAATTTTAACTTAGGGGAATGATAGAAAGGCATCATACTCCGATTAGTGATTCCAGGGGAAACTATTCTTTCTTAAATTGGAAATGAGACAGATGTAAATGGAGAAATGGACAAAAGATATTAATTTTTTTTTTAAAAAAAAAGCAAGATTAAATATATAAAACAGAATTAAGATGAGGCAAAAGTGGAGAGGAGTTATATAATAGATATAGAATGGTAAATAAGATGGGTAATGGTATATAAGAAAAGCGTGAATACAACTGAGTCCATACAAAAAGAGGTAATCTGGGGCCAAGTTACTTTCTAGAAGAAAGCTTTATGTTTTTTATGTCTGTGTTTTATGTGTGTGTGTTTAATTAAGAATTAAATAATAAAATCTCGGAAGAAGACTAGATGAGAATAATTATAAACAAGCCAGAGGGAAATATAAAGTTGATGACTGGATAGCAGATAAATCAGAAAGGAAATATGATTGAATAATGATTAAAGAGAAACAATGTGGAATTTGGTAAAGGGAATTTACGTGTTTATATGGAAATGGGATAAATTATAAGTATGTGATATAAAGCAATATGTTACCTGCCTTGTAAGGATCTACAATGGAAAGAGGTTTTATGTTTTTAATGTTTAATGATGTTTTGTCTTGTTTGTAAAATCAATAAAACTTGTTTAAAAAAAAAAATCTCTGGGATACAACAAAAGCCTACATGAGAGGTTTAACTATTGGCTATATTATTAAAAAGAATAAAGAAAAAAGGCAACAACAAAATGTGTGGAGAGAGAAACTTAAAGACTTAGAACTAAGTAGACAAATTGATTTGAATAATCAAAACACTAGTAAAGAAATCGATATGGTAAAACATAAGATAAATTTAAGTATGCAGGAAGACCTGGCCCGAAAAATTAAATTAGCAAAACAAAACTATTTTGAAAATGCAAACAAGCCAGGGAAATGGTTAATATAAAATAAAATAAAATAAAATAAAATAAGAAAAAGAACAAGGAAAAAGAACTACTGTAGCTCTCCAAGACCAAGAAGGGAAAGTATGTACCTAGGCTAAGGAAAAGAAAGATATTGCCAAAGACTTTTTTACAAATCTATACAATCAAGAAGAAGTACCAGAAGAACTTATTAATCAATATTTGAGGGAAAAAAATTTACCGGAAATTATGTATGAAGAGAAATATATTTTAAATAATAAAATATCCACAGAAGAAATTAGAAAGGCAATTGGAGCCCAAAAACTAAATAAAATCCCGGGCCCGGATGGAATTCTGTCTGAATTCTATAAGGAGTTTCAAGAGTTATTGGAAGAGTTAATGACAGACCTATATAATGAAGCCTTGGATAGTGCTAATATACTAAAGTCATGGACCGAAGCATAT